ACTAAGTTCAATATTGTATAACTGTATTAATTCAACAGCAAACCTAAAAATTTTATAGCCACTTTTGAAAGAGCTGTATCTCTTCTCTGGAAACTGTTATTGAGCATATTGAAGCTGTAATGATATGCTTCTTCTAAAAAATAAAAATAAAAAATAATATTAAAAAAGAACATGGTGAAAACAAGTAGGTGGCCAAGATCCATGTAGGATACACGTATTTTCAAAAGTTTTAAAAGGAAAGTTTATATTTCTGTTTTTTTAATGATTTAATTAGTTATTATTTCTTCACAATCATCAGACACAGCAGACACAGGAAATCTTAAAAAGTGCAAAAATCTAGCTCATAAGTCACTTTCAAACACAATTTAACTTTTATAAATTTAAATTTATACAATTATGTAATGCTATAGTTTATTTGGTAGACAATTCCATGTATCTTATTGCCACTATCAATTTTATTTTGTAGCAAGTAAATTTTTAATTTATTACTTTTACTTTATGTGTATGTGTGTATTGCCTGCATGTGGGTAGGCGCACCCTTGTTGTGCAATGCCCATGGAGGTCAGAAGAGGTTGGATCCAACCTCTTCTGACCTCCATGGGAGTTACAGACAGTTGTTAGCTGCCATGTGGGTGCTGGGATTCAAACCTGGGTCTTCTACAAGAACAACCAATATTCTTAACTGCTGAGCCATCTCTCCAGACCTAGCAAATAAATGTTTGTATTCCAACCCACCATTTCTAAGCTCAAAAACACTGCCTAATCCTTGGTCGTGAAGGGAAAGATCCAGACTGGGATGCTGGACCTTCTGCAGTTTGCAAACTCTCTTTAGAAAAAATACAATCCAGGTGTAATGATGTGTGCCTGTAACCAGGATCGTTGTTGTGGGAGGCTGAGGCAAGAGGATATCTTAATCCAGGAAGTCCAGAATGGTGGAGGCAACATAGTGAGAACCCATCTGAAAAAAAAAAAAGAAGAAAAGAAATAAGAAGGAAGGAGAGAGGGAGGGAGGGAGGAGGGGAGGGAGGAAGGAAGAAAAAAGGGAAGGAAAAGAAATGGAAAAAAACCACAGCATCACAAATACAAAATTGGGCACTGGGCCCCCTAGAGGCAAATTAGCTCCCTAGTTAATACTACCCTGGGCTCAGGGAGACCAGATGGGAAACTATGGCAGTTGTATTAGTCAGATTTCCATCCTTGTGACAAAATCCCTGAGAAAAACAACTTGAAGAAAGGTTTATTTCATCTCATGGTTTCAGAGGTTTTGACCTTGTCATTATAGGCCTGAGGCAAAGCTGAACTCACTGTGGAGAATGCATAATGGAGCAAAGATGTTCACTTCCTGGTGGCCAAAGGTGGGGGACTGGGACAAAATACAGCCTTCAAAGGCATACTCCCAATGACCTCGTTCCTCTAAGTAGGCCCCACTGCCTCAAGTTTCCACTACCTCTTAGTAGAGCCGTGAATGAGAACCAGTCCTTCAACACATAACCCCGAGAGAGTCCCAGATCGAAATGGTGACCTTGGTAGTTCAGTAAGGAGGTGAAAGTCCAGAGTTGGGACTAGAACACATGGGAGAGATAGGAGAGACATGCCCAAGATAGGTGTACATTTATAGATGTAGCGTTTTGTCTGGAGAATGTCAACTGCTGGATGACTCACTCTGTGAGTCAAGAGGAAGTACAGAAGAGATGGGGCTGGGAAGAGCAGATTGGGAGGGTAAATGACCTCAGCTTTGAAACTGTCAGGCCAGATGGAAAATCGTGGAACCCACTGTATGTATATTTGGGGCTCAGGAGAAAGAAGTGTGCACTAGACAGCTGTCGACCACTGAGAAGACACACGGGATGGAGACTGACTGCACCCCAGGGAACACCAGAAGTAGAGCTGCTTAGAAATGGAACAAGAAATAATTATTTCTTCAGTACTGTTCATTGAGGGTCTCTGTGTGCCATGCACCATGTGATATGTTGTGGGCTAGAGAAAGCTGAGTCAGCATGTTGTCAGCTGGGGCCGAGGGTGAGGGAAGGGAAAGGCACAAAAATAGAAAAGTGGGAAACACTGCTCAATATTTCACTAGAATTAGGAAATCCTAAAAACAAACAAATAAGTAAGTAAATGATTAATTAAATCGTGAATGCTTTGAAAACCGAAATATGAAGTGTAGCAGTAGAATTAGTACATCTGGTTACCATGATAACACAAGCCAATCTTTGAAGAAAAGCTCTCACAATTCTGGAGGTTCAAGGTCAGAGCACTAGCACCGGCTGGAGTCTGAAAGGACCCCTTGACAGATGACAGGAGCACATGGCAGTGAGATGTGCCCTTGACAGTCAGTATGCCAGAGGGCAATACAAGGCTCAGCCTTGCTCTTGTACAACCCCCAAGAGCTCGGGGTCCCACCACAATCACATAAACCTTCCAAGGGCTGTTCCCACAGTGATCTCAGCATGTTTCACCAGGCCTCCACTCTTAAAGGTCTCACCACCTCTCAGCCCTACCACACTAGAGACCAGCTTCCCAATATATGAACTCAAACAATTTCCAAAACCACCACAAGGAAATTGTGGTAATATTTATTATTTATTTATTTATGCTGGGGATCAAATCTAGAGCCTAACACATACTAAGCAGACATGAGCCATATCTCATCCCTGTTTTAATGTAATTAAATTGTTATTGTTATTGTTAGTTTGGTACTGAGGATCAACCCCTTGCACCTGTAAGCACATGCTATACCACTGATCTCCATCCAGAGCCCCCTGATGAGTTTTGAGCAGAGCAGTTTTACACTCAGCACTGAAACAGAACAGAGGGACAGTCCTCTGGCAGATGCTACTGCTGGCACTGTGGCAACTAATAGAATTTCATAACCAAATCAGGAATAGACGTTACGGCTGTAGAACTGCTGGGCCATGATGGACAGGAACCTAGGGGTTATATGAGTAAGTGCAGGCTTTGAGGTCAGCGGCTAGAAGTGAAAACAGCACTCACTGAAAGTGAAACTGAAGGTGGCCGGCCCTCCAGTTTGCTGTCACCTGCCATTTCAGTAAGCACCCCTTTGGGGTATAACTCAGATCAGCACAAGACAGGGTAGACGGTGGGAAAATGGGGAAGGAAGAGGGCTAGGAAGAAGACAGAGAATTCCTCCGCTGTCTTCAGTCCTGGTGACTAGTTCCCTGGAGTCTCAAGGACATGTTAAGAGCCCTCTGATGGCCAGGTGTGGTGGCACATGCCTTTAGTCCCAGCACTTGGGGAGCAGAGGCAGGCAGATCTCTGTGAGTTCAAGGCCAGCCTAGTCTACCTAGTGAGTTCCAGGACAGCTGGGTTACAGCGAAACCCTGTCTCAAAAAGACAAAAAAAAAAAATGTCCTCTGATGAACACCTTAGCGTTCTCACCTGAAACTGCCCAAGCAGCTTCTAGAAATCCACTTCTGTTGTTTTATGGAAAAACTGCTTTCAAAAAGTCTCCTACCCCTTGAAGACTCAGTCCCACAGCCTGGACGTGCTCTGTGATTTGCAGGTCTCCTGGGCCAGAAACTAAGAATCCCGAGATGGCAGTAACAGATCGCTGAACAAGGTGTGGGCCCTTCTGACATATTCAGCCATGTGTGGGGACCTGTGCCTATTAGGCTGACTCTGGCTGTGGTTGAGTGAGTGCTGGCACCTCAGCTCACCCTCCTTGCTTCACTGTCATCCCCTGCACACCTCCTCATCCCTCCAGCACTCCCTCAGCACCTCTGTTTGGCAGCTCCCAGTCTGTTCTCATTCTTCCCCCAAGAGTGGAGATTCATCTCTAGAGAGGGACCCTTATTCTGTCTCACCAAAGGACCCACTCCAGCTCCAGCTCCTTGCCAGCTGTCTTTTTCGGCCTTCAGTAAGATAACACTGACCTTTGCTGAGATTTCAGTCATTGCAGCTGCTTGTGGATGCAACAGGATGAAACATGTACAGCAGTCCTCCCGGCACTGCTATCATAATCGATTCCAGTGCTAGGTGTTGCCCAAGGGGTGGCCGACAGCTGAGACTTTCTTCTTGAAAAGAGTCTGGGGAAGTTTTGGGACACTGAGCACCAATGGTACCCTTCTTTTTGCAGAGTCCCACTTGAGAACAGTCTTGTTCATTACCAATATTGTTGTTAAGATGATGTTTCTATCTCTGAGAGGAAGCTGAAACCCACAGAAGTTAGATGACTCCTCAAGAATTTGTAGCTAGCCTGACAGATTCAGGGAGTGAAGTTTTTAGTTGTATATCCAAGAATGACTCCAGTGGATGCTTCCAAACCAATGGTCACACCAATGGCCCTGGTTAAATGAAATGGATTACAAAACCAACCCAAAAGTCACGAATCTGGAAAAGGGCCTAGTAGAGATGGAGGAGGTGATGGGAACTGGAGGAAGATAAGAGAGGGTATGGGGTAATCCGAATACATAATATAGATGAATTCATGGATGAATTTTTCAAAATACAAACTAATCAATAAAAAAACAAAGTCTGGCTGGGTGTGGTGGCACATGCCTTTAATCCTAGCACTAGGGAGGCAGAGGCAGGTGGATCTCTGCTAGATTGAGGCCAGCCTGGTCTATGTAGTGAGTTCCAGGCCAGCTGGGGCTACAGAGACACTCATAAATAAATAAATAAATAAATAAATAAATAAATAAAAGTTTGTTACTGAATAAAGAAATTAAAAGGAATTTTTCTCCCTGCTCTAAGAAGAAGAAAAAAGATTGCACAGCTAGGACACAGCAAGAGTAGAGCACAAGACTTCCAAGCCCCAAACAGCCTGCTGTCCCTACATCCATGGAGGACCTGAGCCTCCTTCTCATCACCCTATTGACAGAGCAACACTTCATGAGCACGGCCTAAGGCTATGTCACAGCAGCTGTTTTATTTGTTTTAATAAATTTATATAAAAGGATCATCCATGATTTCTGTCTCCCCCCACCCCCACAAGGGAATAACTTTCTAGCTAACTTTTATTTCTTGTTCTGACTCTTTAGAGACAACCCTGCTACCCAGTTTAACCTCAAAACTCACATGAATTCACAAGATCTAAAGACAGCTATAGAGAAAATTACCCAGAGAGGAGGCCTTTCTAATGTAGGTATGTGACCTAGATTCAGATGATTCTACTTTGTTACCATGGTTTTCTTTCTACGTAGTTGTCTTATAACATTCTGTACTGGAGGAGAAAGGAAAAAGGATCCATCAAGAAATGACTCACCTCCTAAGGAATTATCGTGGATTTGGGTGCAAGAGTGTGCTACCTATTTGGTTCCCTACCTATTGAGTTCTTTGGGTTGGTGGGCTGCATTCCTCAGAAATAGCAGGACAGCTGTCATGACTACTTCGTGGTTGGCCTATAAGTCACCAACAAGTTAGCACTGGGTCTCTCAGGCCCCGGGGGAGTCTTGTTCCTATCACTGTGGTTGTAGTGATGACTGTGCCAAGAGAGGCATGTCCTGAGCTTGAAGATGAGTTTGCTGTGGTGCCTGGTGGGTATCACTAGAAGTCCAAGATCTAGTCCTCAGTGGGCAGCTCCAGAAACATTTGACCTGTTCAACCGGAGGCGACTGGACAGTTTCACACATGGACCATGCTCAAAGACAGGGAGGAAGGCTGATTGTATTTCAGGGAAACTTCCTACCATTGAAGTTCAAAGAAACCCAGATACACCATGGCTTGTGTGGAATAAAGCAGTAAGTAAAACTAACTTTCATGGAGCATCCTTGAAGTTTCAGAAAGTCTGATTAAGTATTCCTTCCCTCTCACATCCCCCTAGTAGCCAGAACATTAGTATCTGGCAAACACAGAATCTTTTATCTCAGTTCAATAGTAACTAAACACCTAGCCAACAATAGCTCTCCATGTCTGCAAATCCATATTACCCTCATCATAAGCATGATACAGTTGATTTCAGACTTGCTCCCAACTTATTACTTACATAAACAAAATTCCAATGAGAAAAACTTCAAAAGGTCCTGGACTCCCCTGATGAGGTCAGAGAGGTATCCTAAGCCTGTCAGCATACTTTTTTCAGTAGGTGGTATGTTTACACTGTGCCTCTGTATCATCCAGGAGTTAGAGAACATAATCACATAACTGACTGAAGCACACAGGGGTTAGTTCCATGCAGAGGTACAGAGCAGTCGAAGGAGCTCTCAGAGGTGACACCTCAACATGTCTTGCAGAATGAGGGCTTCCAAGTGAGCTACTACCTTTTCCAAGATCAGAAAACCCCTTTGCAAATTCTGCTGCCACAGCCTTAGCATGAACCTGCTTCAACCAGCTCCAGTACCATCCCCTACCTGCCCCATTCTTACCCACAAAAGAAATGCCACACCCCTACCACCTCCACAACATCAAAGCTAACAAACACAGTACCTCTAACAGTGCCACAGAAAAGCCAAATGCCCCACAGACTATAAGGAGAAAGGGCAGAAACAAAATCAGAGTCTTTGCCTCACTTTCATCTTCCAAATCTCATTGAAGTGCATCAGCTCAGGGAAGTAAGACAAAGCTGGAAGTGTAGACACGAGGGAGTATGGACCATGAAGATTTCAGATTTCCAGCCCCTTGTTTCCACATACACTGAAAGGTACATGGAATGTGTGCTGAGTACTGATTCACTAGGCTAGATAGGGTGAGGGTGGCCATCTTACAGCTTGTGTGTTCTGCTTCATATTATAGGCTTCATATTATGCTGGAGAGGACTGCTGGGTGCTTTGGGCCCTGAGTTCTCCGAAGCCATGCTTTTCCTTTCCTGGCTGTCTGTGAAGTCAGCTCACATGGATTCTCTAAGATAATCCAGCAATATTGTATGTAACCACTTAATGCTTCTATCTGACAGCTAAGAAAGCCAGTAGAGCCAGGGTGCAGGGAAACCTAGAGAGCGAGTGAAACACAATAGCCCTCAAGTCTAGATAAGGCAATTTTAACTGTTACTGAGACTGAGGGCTCATTTCAGAATCTCCTGGAGGCTGTAGCCTTTTATATGCGCATATACATGAAATCTCCCTTCAGGGGACACGGACACACACACACACACACACACACACACACACGCTCAGGTCCTTAAGAGCCATGCAGACTCAAAGGTGGCCAGTCATTCAGTCATTCCAGGAGAACCTAGTGCATTCAATGTTAAAACTTGGAAAGTTCTGGAAAACTGAGGGAGCTGGTGAAACTAGTTGACTCTGAAAATGTCCTAAGGCTCTGCAAGTGAAATACCCACTTGAGAACAGAATGCTGGAAGCTCCATTGGTCTACATGACTGTGGCACTTAGCTGAAGCAGATTATTGGCCTAGAAATCTAGGCCAGGAACCTGGAGTGACCTACAGAACCAGCAGTTTTGACACCCAGGCCTAGAACCCAGCCTATCTGTTCCTAGTGGGCCCATCTCTTCCAGGGCTAGCCAGGCCTGGGCACTTGGTCTGAAACTGGACAAAGACACCATGGATCACAGCAGAGCCCTCCACCCAGCAGCTCCTGTAGCTCCTGACTCTCCCAGCTGTGAGAGGCTAAGATGAAGCTATTGTCACTCAGGATCAACCCGTCCCACCCACGCGCTCAGATTCTCATGGGCCCATTTAGGGCCCTTGTTTGGGTCCCGCACCCTTTTCTTCCCATGAAAGTCTCTCTCTTTCTGCTTGCCGGTCCCTGAAACTTTGTCTTTTCAAACAAGAGCCAATTAGTTCAGGGCTTAGGAAGCTGAGGAAAGACTGATGGTTGTACAACATGGTGAATGTGCTGACTGCCACTGCTTATATGCCTAAAAGTAGTCAATGTGACATTTTTTTAAAAAAGAAACAAGCAACTGGGGAGGGAATGTGTATGTTTTCCTGGACTTCTTTGTGGTGGTATGATCTGTTCGTATCTTCATGATTACCACAAACACTCCAAGCACAAATTTTCTTTTTCTTCCAGGCCGAGCCATCTCCTTTGTGACTAAGAACTTCTTTTCCAAAGCAAATGGAAACAGAGGTGGTGCTCCCAATGTGGCTGTGGTCATGGTAGATGGCTGGCCCACAGATAAAGTGGAGGAGACTGCAAGAGTTGCAAGAGAGTCGGGAATCAACATCTTCTTCATCACCATTGAAGGTGCTGCTGAAAAGGAGAAGCAGTATGTGCTGGAGCCCAACTTTGCCAACAAGGTATGTAACTGTGAGGGACAAACCCAAGGTAAGGATCCTCTGCACTCTGAAAAGTGATGATGACCTCAGGGCTGTTCCTAGGGCCTTGAAATGTGTGTAAAACTTATGACTAGGGAGGAGGGCCTCCCCTGAGGAAATCTGGGATTACCCTGTCAAAGCAAAACCTCACATCCACCACACAACCAACAGCTTAGGAGCACAGGGAAAGAACAGTATCCTCAGAATCTCACTTAAGGCTTCCCCTTGCTCCTCCCGCAGCACCAAGGGACCCTAGCCAGGCAACCCAAGTAGACTTTACACAAGCACATAGACGTGCATATATGTGTACCTACCCTACCCCACACACACACAGGTGGGCACATACAGCACATACTACAAGTGAATCTATATGATAAACAGGAGAAGAGTAGACCCAGATCAGGATGGTCTGGTTCCCATGATCCTGGGTTCTGTAGAAATGCCTGGAAGGGGTGCTAGGCCTCCTGGTCCGCTTTCACCAAAGCCACGTTTAGTGTTTGAGAAAGTAGGACTCCACATAAACCCTCCTCTAAAGACAAGGTTTCAACTGGGAAGGAGAGAGGGAGAAAAAATGGGAAGGGAGAAAGAGAAAAGAAAAAAATGAGAGAGAGGAAGGAAGAAAGGAAGGAAGGAGGGAGGGAGGAAGGAAGGAAGGAAAGAAGGAAGGAGGAAGGAGGAAGGAAGGAAGGAAGGAAGGAAGGAGGAAGGAAGGAAGAAAGGAGGAGGGAGGGGGAGGGAGGGAGGGAGGGAAGGAGGGAGGGAGGAAGGAAGGGAGAAAGGAGAAACAGCCAAAATCTTAGCTAAATAATGTGGAGAGTCTCCAGGCCCCAGTCCTTATGGAAGAACTGTTGACAGTGGATAGTTGCCAGGGGGAGTAGAATCATTTGTTTTGGGGGATGTGGTCATTCAATGAACACACAGCTAGCACTAAATGGACTTAGTGGGTGGAAGGAAGAAAGGAAGGAAGGAAAGAAAGAAGGAAGGAAGGAGGGAGGAAGGGAGGGAGGGAGGAAGGAGGAAGGAAGGAGGAAGGAAGGAAGGAGGGAGGAAGGGAGGCCTGGATGGATTTGATATTGACTTTAATAGTCTGTGTTCAGAGCTATGGGGCACCATATCAAACTGCTGATTGTCTCTTGCTCCTTAAAATTCTCTTCCTTGTTGACTTGACTTCCTGGACACTGTGTGACCCTAACCCTAAATATAGACGTTGCCAGGATTCACCACTCTCCTCCCTGTTTCCCACAAAGCTTTCTCCATCTACAATGCCCCTGATACTCCCCAAGCTCCACCTTCATCTCTTGAGACTATAGCCATGTCAGCTAACAATTTTTTTCTTTTTTTAGCCCTGTCCTATCAGAACCTGAAATCTCACAATAAGCCAAGCTCACCATCTTTCCCACCCAAACTGTCTCCTTCTCAGGACCTACCTGAATGGTCCCACACTTACATCAGAGGCCATCCCAGAATTACTCCTTGGTACCCACATCATGTCTCTCATCCCTCTGCTCTTGTCCAGGCCTAAACCAATTCTAAGCATGTACTTTGCCTCGGGTCCACCCCCCTTCTAAGTCTCCCCACTTTATTTTGATTTCACAGTGAGGCCCAGTTCATGTTCACTAAGCATTCTGCCAGTCAGTCCCATGGGATCTTTGCTCCAAGCCCTTCACTGGAACCCACTGCTGTTGAGGCTTTCTGGAATGAGGCTCCAACCTACTTTCCTGGCCTGGCTACTGAGACCTCCACATAGCCCCTGTGCTCCAGCCAACTTGTCTCTTGTCCACAGCCAACATCACCACTCTCTCTGCCATGACCTTAAGTGGGCTGTCTGGTAGAAGTCCCTCTGCTCCATCCACTGGCCAGAACTCAGCTCAATCCTAGCATTCATCCACCTAGGCCATGGAAAGTTTTGTGAACTCCATTTGGGTTTTTAAAATTCAATAAAAAAAATTGTGGGAAATTTACAAGTTATTTCTTACTTAAAATAATTTTCTAATTATACAAGTTCATTTGTATGAAGTCTGACTCTGTCTGTGATCCCCAGAGATAAGCAGAAGCAAGGAAGGAATGACCCACTTTCAGGGCACTAGACTAGTCACTTCTAAAAGCATAGAAGCAGGGGCTGGAGAGATGGCTCAGCGATTAAGAACACTGGTTGTTCTTGCAGAAGACCCCGGTTTGAATCCCAGCACCCACATGGCAGCTAACAACTGTCCTAACTCGAGTCCTAGGGGATCTGACAGCCTCTTCTGGCGGACATTGCACACCATGGGTGCACTTACCTACACACAGGCAATACACGCATACACATAAAATAAAAATAATAAATAAAATATTTAAAAGCAGAGAAGCAATCTTTATTTGCCACTCCCTTAACATTTTTCTGGACCAAGCTCAGGGACAGGTGGATAAATATTCATTTGCCTGGGGTCAGGGTTGTCTAGAGTATAGAGCTGAGAGTTTGAAGACAGACTGGTGTTCCAGTCACAGAGAACTCAGAGATGAGCCTTCAAACCTGTTCTCTGTTGGCCTCCTAGTGTTGGGGTTCCACCTTGCAGGATGAGGGCAGGAACCAAATGAGGAAATCTTTCCTAGAAGATCTAGTGGGACTCTGACACCTGTGGCTACTCAGAAACTCCCAGTCCTTCCTGAAGGGTATAGGATTGCCCTGGAAAACCTGTTCTGTGTGGAACTTCTGTTTCCCATCAGAGCAGAAGTTTCTTTAATCTTCTCCTGTGATGGTACCCATCAATGCCACTCTTATAACTGGCTTCCTGTACAAATGAGTTGAGGGGTCCCAGAGATGCATAAATATGAAACTAAAGTCAGTGATGTACATTTCCCTGTGAATTTGCTCAGCAGACCATTTTCCAATAAGGCAGAGACCCAACTGAGGGGGAAAGGAGCAAATCCAGATGTTGCTGGAAGGGTCTTGGCCTCAGGGGTACCCCACAAGGTCAACTGGGCAGGACAAAGTGCTGCACTCTGACAGTGCTGCACTAACACAAGGAATGGGACTCTGCTTCTTAACTGGCAAGGGTAATGGTGACACATGGGAGGACTTGACCCCTGACCTAGACAGAATCTTTCCTCTCCTTCTTCCAGGCTGTGTGCAGAACAAATGGCTTCTATTCGTTCAACGTGCAAAGCTGGCTCAGCCTCCACAAGACAGTGCAGCCCCTGGTGAAGCGGGTCTGCGACACAGATCGCCTGACCTGCAGCAAGACCTGTTTAAACTCAGCAGATATCGGCTTTGTCATTGATGGCTCCAGCAGCGTGGGGACAGGCAACTTCCGGACGGTCCTGCAGTTTGTGGCCAACATCAGCAAGGAGTTTGAGATTTCAGACACAGACACGCGCATCGGGGCCGTGCAGTACACCTACGAGCAGCGGCTGGAATTTGGGTTCGACAAGCATAGCACAAAGACTGACGTCCTCAGTGCCATCAAGAGGGTGGGGTACTGGAGTGGAGGCACCAGCACCGGGGCTGCCATCCAGTATGCCCTCGAACAGCTCTTCAAGAAGTCCAAGCCCAACAAGAGGAAGTTAATGATCCTTATCACGGATGGCAAGTCCTACGACGATGTGCGGATACCAGCCATAGCCGCCCACCAGAAAGGTGAGCACTCCTGTAGGGGAATTTGATTTATCACTTTATAAAAGATACCAGGGCCAGGCTTGATGGTGCATGCCTTTAATCCCAGCACTTGGGAGGCAGAGGCAGGTGGATCTCTGTGAGTTCAAGGCCAGCCTGGTCTACATAGCGAGTTCCAGGCCAGCTGGGGCTGCAGGGAGACCCTGACTCAAAAAGACTGAAAAAAAAAAAAAAAAAAAAAACCCAACCACTAGCCCTATTTATCCCACCACGGTTGAGGTGTTAATTTTTGTTTGTTTGTTTGGCTTTGTTTATTTTTAAAATATTTTATTTATTTATTTATTTATTTATTTATTTATTTATTTATTTTATGTGTATGAATGTATTGCCTGCATGTAGGTAGGCACACCTGTGTCATACAATGCCCACAGAGGTCAGAAGAGGGCATCAGATCTCCTGGAAGTGGAGTTTACAAACGAATAGTTGTTAGCCACCATGTGGGTGCTAGGACTCAAACCCAGGTCTTCTGCAAGAGCAGCCAGTGCTCTTAACTACTGAGCCATCTCTCCAGCCCTGTTTTGTTTTTTTTTAAGATAGGCTCTTTCTGTATGACTCAGGCTTGCTTCAAACCTACAACCTTCCTGCCTTAGTCTCCCAAGCGCTGAAATTATCAATATGAGCCACCATACCTAGGCGAAAAGAATTGTTTTTGTAAACTATTACAAACCAGATCTTGGGATGGGGGGAACCTTGAAGGATTTTTTTATTCAAAATACCTCAAGAGATCGTTCCATACAAAATTTTCCAAGAGGACTGATAAGATGGCTCAGTGGGTAAAAGTGCTTGCTATGCAAACCTGCCAACCTGAGTTCGATCCCCAGAACCCACAGAAAGATTAAAGGAGAGAGCTAATACCACAAAATTTTTCTTTGATCACACACAGGAGCTATGGCACACACACACACACACACACACACACACACACACACACACACACCTACACAAATAGGCAAATAAATAAATAAAATATTTAAAAATTCCCAAGAAGTCAACAAAAATGTTTAAAAACATGAAAGATGAGCAAAATATTTTTATAAATGTTTAGAAAATCAGTCACATATAAACTTCTCTTGAACAGTCTATAGGTACATAGTCACTATTCTGAAGACCATGAAAATACAAAGAGCCTGAAGGAAACCTGTGATAATAAAAGTGAACCAAGTGGTCTGTGCACACTTGAGACCTGAGCTAGGGTGCAGCACTCCGTGCCCTAGCTGGTTTTCCTTTTCTGTTCCTGTATTTTTAAAACCTGATATTTTTAAATTGGTCTGGAGAGATGGCTCAGTGGTTAAGTGCAGTGGCTGCTCTTGCAGGCGACCTGGGTTCAAATCCAAGCACCCACATGGCAGCTAACAACTGTCCATAATTCCATTTCCAGGAGATTCAGCATCCTCTTCTGTTCTCCACAGGTACTGCATGGCATGGGTGCACTTACATATATGCAGACCTATCACTCATACACATACAATAAAAATAAATTAATTAAGAATCTGCTTTAAATCTTAAAACAAGCCTTAAGAAGCAGATATTGTTACTTCTGGAAACCAAAATGTTTATGCAGCAATTTCAGACGAAGCCTTCCAGTGCTTTACTTTTTGTGCAGCCTGTGGGGCATACCCACAAAGGTGGATGATGGTGTCTATGCCAGCAGTCACAAGATCCCTTGGGCTCATGTCAGCAGATTGATGATTTAAGGTTCAGAAGCAAGCTTTACAATGTCTCACAGTAAGTGAGCAAGGGAGGATGGGCTAGTTCTGAACTACATGCCTGGGGCTCTCCTGCTTTCCCTCCACATCTGACCCCAGCTCATGGTCAGTTCCATCATCACTTCTTTTCTAAATATATCTTCTTTGGGCCTCATCCAAAGGGTACCCTTGGACTACTCATCAAATGGGATGGTAAATAGGGGCTATTAGAATAACATTCTGGGACGGTTTAAGGCATTAGAACTATTGGATACAAATGCCAAGGGGCCAGGTTTCTAGTTTAGAGCCTAACTCTGAGATTCATCAGAAAATGCAATGAGGATTGTGTCCCCTGGAGTACTGAAATCCATGCTGGGTGGCCATCTGTAAGCCTAGCTGTAAGCCTCTTCTTTACAAAGAGGGTGGTCCTAGGAGGTCAGAAAAACTCAATTTCTAATACTGTTTTTTAGTTTTATTTGGCACAGCCTTTCCATACTTTTTTTTTTTTTGAGACAGGGTCTCACTATGTAACTTTGGCCTGGAATTTACTATTTAGTCCAGGCTGGCTTCAAACTCACAGAGATCTGCCTGCCTCTGCCTCCTGATTAAAAGCATACACTACCACACCTAGCTAGCCTTTCCATTTTTCTTATTTTTTTTTTTTTTGGTCTTTTTGAGACAGGGTCTCCCTGTAGCCCCAGCTGACCTGGAACTCACTATGTAGACCAGGCTGACCTCAAACTCGCAGAGATCGACCTGCCTCTGCCTCCCAAGTGCTGGGATTAAAGGCGTGCGCCACCACACCCAGCTAGCCTTTCCATTTTTAAGCAGAAAAGAGGGCTCAGTCAAAGCTCAGCACTGTGGCAAAGTTATTCTTGCTGCTCCTTGCCAACACTTGAAAACCCAAACTCCCTCCCTGAATCCGACACAGTATCTAGAGAGAAGAAACTAGAAAGTACCCACAAACTCGATGAAGTAAAATAATAATTTCTTCTTGCTCCATTCTGGATGCTAGAGGTCCAAAGTTGAATTGTCAGAGAATCTCTCTCTCTCTCTCTCTCTCTCTCTCTCTCTCTCTCTCTCTGAGACTTTGGGTGGATACATCCTTAATTCTTCCTAGTTTCTAGTAAGAAGCATCAGTACTTTGGTTGCTTGACCTTCATTTGTTCTCATTCACTATATCTGTCTCTGGGTCTCTCTCTTCTTAAAAGAATCCAGTCAGATTAAATTAGGAGTCCATTCCAGTATGACCTCAATGGAATTTATTCCATTATGTCTTCAAAGACCCTATGTTCAAATAGGGTCAAAAGATTCTAAACTCTTAAGACAGCATCTATATTAATTTTGTTGCTGTTGGCATAAAGTAAGTATTCGAAGTTTACTGAATGAACTGCCATACTTAATCTTATTTCTAGAACCCAGAGGCCCATTGGGGTTCTTTCTTTTGTTTCCCTTGGCACATTTCTGGCTTGGGACACCCAGAAGGAAAGTATCCATTGGCAGACCCTTTGCTTGGGGACATTTGCTTCATCTGCTCTTTGTCTCCACAGGAGTGATCACCTATGCAATAGGTGTTGCATGGGCTGCCCAGGACGAGCTGGAGGTCATTGCCACTCACCCTGCCAGGGACCACTCCTTCTTCGTGGAAGAGTTTGACAACCTCTACAAATCTGTCCCCAGGATCATCCAGAACATTTGTACAGAGTTCAACTCACAGCCTCGGAATTGAGTTTGGAGTTGGCAGAGAATGTTAAACGCTGCCTTACTGACTCTTGGGACTGTCCCAGGCTTTCTGAGGCACACAGAGGGTCATGGCTTGGGTGGGGCTTGGGAAAACATGTATTATTACTACTCTTTGCCATTGGTGATTTTCATGCTTCAAAACTTGTAGTTAGGAAGATGATCACCAGTTCACAGGTTGGGTTAAAATAGCACATCGCTTTGAGCATCTGAGGATTTCGCATTTTGACAATTGTTTTCGAAATACATGCCCAGAAGAGCGGCTCTCACGAAAAGTTTAATTGGAGCTTTTGTGAGAAGTTATGTTTTTATTTCTCATTAGAACTTGTCATCAGCCACAAAATTCTTTTTTATTTTTGTTTTTGGCATGACAATGTAGGGGTCTACATTGTTTAATTAAATCTTTAAAAGAATTATATGGATGCTTTCTTGTTGTGTGATTATTGTCTGGGTTTGTGGTGAGATCACCCTCTGATCTACCTGGTCAACAAATGACAAGACACCCACGAGGACCTAGAGGGAATGTGGCTGCTGTAGAGCTTCTCCTGACTAGTCATGCCCTTAGTGTTATCTGTATTACTGAATATCCACAACATACTGCTTTAGGTGCTGATGGCCCTGGAGGACCAAGTTGGTCTTGTTTAAAAGGTTGTATTAGAATCATTTGGGAAATCAAAATGCTGGCTCCTAGGCCTGCTCCCAATCCCAGTGAAATCCAAGTCTCTGGGACTGGAGCCTGAACATATAGACATGCTTCAAGAGCTGCCTTGTGATTCTGATGTGTCTGAGCTGGATACCCATTGAACTCTTCCTGAGCAGTTAGTGTTAGAGTTTCCTGGAAGAGAGCCTGTTGTCCTGGGTCCATCCAGTTTAGCATTTTTTTTTCTGGTGTTCAATAGGAAGTAGATATTAGTTGTTTTTTTTTAAGATGGGGTCTTATATGCAGTTTAGACTGGATTTTTTCACATTTTATTGATTGTGTGTGCACATATACACATGCACATGTATGCATATATGTCACAGCATACATGTGGAGGTCAGAGTTCGTTCTTTCCTTCCACCACATGGGTCCTGGGAATGGAACTCAGGTTATCACACTTGCATGGAAGGCCCAGCCTGATCACCAAGGAATCTAGCCCAGCATCAAAGTCTATCAATCCTCTTGCTTCTGGCTCCCTAGTGTTAAGATTACGAATGTATACACTACCACCCACAGCTCTGGTATTGATTTTTTTTTACGTTAAAATAAAGTAGAAAGAGTTTGATTGAATTTCACTTCCTCAGTCAAGATCTCATTTGTTACCTTGTACAATGTATATGCAGGAAGGTGTGATGGCACACCCTTAATCCCAGCACTCCAGAGGCAGAGGCAGGTGAATCTCTATGAGATTGAAGCCTGCTTGGTCTACATAGGGAGTTACAGGCCAGATGGGGCTACAGAGAGGCCCTATCTCAAAAAGATTAAAAAAATGCATATGCAATACATGCAAAAGAATATCCAGAGATGGATATGGTAGCAGATGCCAATAATCCCAGCTACTCAAGAGGCTGAGGCAGGAGGGCTACAAGTTCAAGGCCTGACTGGTCAGCTTAAAGAGATCCTACCTCAAAATATAAAACAAACAAAGGAATAGAGATGTAATTCAGAGAGTATTTGCCTAGCATGCATAGGGCCCCGGATTTCAATCCCACTACTTAAAAAACAAACAGAACATTCAACAAATTCCTAAAGAGGGATGACTAATTATTAAAGTTCTGTTTTATTTTAGAAAAATATGTGTTGATTGTTAAATTTTTGGAAAATAAAAGGAAAGATAGAGGAGTAGGAGACAAGAAATCAGAGCCAGACCTGCAACAGGCAAGGAATGTATCCTCCTTTATTCAAAGAAGATACAGCAAGAGGTAGAGGCTCTTGGGAACCAAGCATCTACAACTAGAAAAAGAAAAGGGGGGGGGGTTATACCAGGGCTGTGGGACACAGCTGTACTTAGTGGGGAGTTGAGTTAGCGCCCGGGCTTGGTGTCCCTGGAGTGATTGAGGGTCTCTTTCTCAAGATTATTTCCCCCAGAAACTGGCAGGGGTGTTATCTATGGCCCTAGAGGAGACAGGTGGGCTCCATAAATACTTTCTCTCAGGCTTGGGAGCAACCAACTGATAAGGGGTGAGCAGAGCCAGACTTGAGCAAGGCCAGGCCGCCAATTTAGGGCCAGTTAGACATTTTGAGGGATTTATGGCTTTCCCTAATGAGACTTGTGGCTCTTCTGCAATTCATACATTCTGTCATTGATGAATACTGCTCTGAATGGAGGCAAAAAGATACTATCTGTGTCAATACCTGAGCCTAAATTCTACACTAAAAATTGAGGATATTACCCATTGAACAGAGTTTGCACGAAGCCTCAAAGTATCTTAGTGATTAAAGAGTATAATACCTCAGTACCTGGAAAGAGCATGCATCAGTTAAAAATACCGTGGTCAGGCTGGGGAGATGGCTCTGTGGTAAAGAGCTTGCTGTGCAAGCATGAGAACCTGAGTCCAGATTCTCAAGATCCACATAAAAGCTGGCATGGTGGTACATCAGTAACCTTAGCACTGGAGGACAGAGACACGACGATCCCAGGGGCTTGCTGGCCAGATAATCTAGCCAAAGCAGGTTCAGTGGGAGAACCTGTCTCAAAAAAGTAAAATGGTGGCATACCTGACTAACCGGGGTGAGTTACCCAAATCCCACTGTCCCACCCCTCTGCTTTGGGATCATCTCAGTCCCTCCCACTGCTCTAGAGCTCAGGCCTTCTCTGCTAGCTAGTAAGAGCCAGCCCATTCTGTTCCCACTGGCTCTCCTTGAATCTTTTTGGTCCCATCCCGCTGAAGCTGCCAGAGATCACATGACCAGCCTGGGTGAGACAGCCAGATCCCATCAAACCAGATCTCCATTCCCTTGCTCTGAGACTAGTTCTGGTGGCTTGGGTCCAGGGCTCACACTTTCTTTGTTTAGTCTATTAGAACTGTCCCAGCTGATACCCATCACCTTGACTTGGGCCTAGGCTCCTTTGCCTTCCTGAAGATTTCCTGACTAGCCTGCCTGAATCCATCTGATCCCTCCAATGAAAAAGCAACATATAGGACACGAAACCCAGACCAGACCCTATTCATACCAGATCAGAAAGGAACCAAGCTACAACAACAACATAAACAGAATCAAACTTCAACTCAACAAAGGCAGGCTTGAGTTCCATGTCAGACACATAACCAACAAAAGAAATCCACATGACCAGACCATAATGAAAACCTACAAATAATATGAAAGCCAAAATAATATGCCCCCACCAAACCCCACCAGTCCTATTAAAATAACTAACCAACACATATCTTTCAATAATAACTTTAAATATCAATGACCTCAACTCTCCAATCAGACACAGACTGGTGAAATGGATTAAGAAACAAAATCCATCTTTTTGTTATCTACAAGAAATGCATCTCACCTTCAAGGATAGGGGTTACCTTACACTGAAAGGATGGAAAAAAATATTCCAAGCAAATGGCACTAAGAAACAAGCAGCATTGCAGTTCTAATATCTGACTAAATAGACTTCAAATTAAAATTAATCAGAAGAGATAAAGTCACTCCAATCTTATCAAAGGAACAATTGACCAAGAAGACATTACAATCATGAACATATATGCACCAAACTTTAGTGCACTCAATTTCATAAAAACAGTTCTATAGGACTTCAAGACACAGATAAACCCCAATTCAGCAATAGTAACTGACTTCAATACCCCAATCTCTCCAATAGACAGGCCAACTGGACAAAGAAGAAACAGAGAAACATCTAAATTAAATGATCTCATACAGCAAATTAACCTAGCAGACATCTACCAGATAGTCTTCCTAAGAACCAAACAAAACATTTTTACTCGCAGCCAATGGAAGTTTCTCTAAAATTGACCATATATGGGGCACAAGACAAACCTCAACAAATACAAAAAGAACTGAAATAATTCCATTCATTCTATCAGATCACAATGCAATAAGGCTTAAAATCAATAGCAAAAGAATCTCTGGTAACTACATGAACTCATGGAGTTTAAACAACATGCTCCTTAATGATGAATGGGTCAAAGAAGAAATCAAGAAAGAAATAAAGTTATTCGTGGAACTAATTGAAAATGATAATACAACACAACAGGACCTCTGAGACACATTAAAAGCAGTCCTAAGAGGAAAATGTACAGCTCTAAGCAACTGAATTAAAAAATCATAAAGATCACAAATAAATGACTTAACCAATTGAGTGAAGAGGAAGCCTACAGAGAAGGAAATCTTCACCAGCTATTTATCTGAAAGAGGATTTATATCTAGAATATACAAAGAACTCAAAAATCCAAGAAGCAAGAAAACAAATGACCCAATTTAAAGATGGGCTATGGATCTGAACAGAGAGTTCTCAAAAGAAGAAATAATGATGGCTAAGAAACACCTTAAAAAGTGTTCAACAACCTTAGTAATTAGGGAAATGCAAATCAAAACTACTTTAACGTTTCATCTAATCTCAGTCAGACTGGATAAGATCAAGAGAACAAATGACATGAAATGCTGCCATGGATGCAAAGAAAGGGGAGCCCTCATCCACTGTTGGTGGGATTACAAACTGATTTAACCGCTGTGGAAATCAGGAATTAAGGCCCAGTCATTGAGAGGGAATTCATGTGTTGTGCTATAAACATAACCAAATACACAAGGCTGGAGAGGTCATAGATCCTAGAGAAAAACCTACTTTTGCCACATCCCTAGACCAACATAATTCCTTACTTTATTCTAAATATGCATCCTCATATTTACAGACAAGTGTAGCTTTCATCCCCATCAAAGAAGCATCTTTTTGCAATAGATGGAGACTACCACAAAGTTATATAACTGCTCAAATGCAGAGAAGGTGTCTGTGAGACTTACCCTTAAGTGCGTATCTTAATGCAACCTCTACATAGATAAATGCATCTCTCAGCTCTCAGCAGAGAAGTTTCCTTATACATAAATTGGTGATTAACATAGAAATCCACAATCAGTCAATGTGCAGAAAATGAGAGGCCACGAGTACTTATTCATGAATAGAACACCTATTTCAAAACTCTGCCTCCTAAGGCTCAGGGATTATTGTGGAAGAAGAGATGGAAAGATTGTAAGAGCCAGAGGTGGTGGATGACCACAAGGAAACAAAGGCTTCCAGACAACTGGTCACATACTGTGATGGCTAACCCTGGGTGTCAACTTGACTGGATCTGGGATTACCTGAAATAAAAGAGATCTTCTTAATTGGATCATCTGAAGC